AGAAAAGGACTGAAATATGGGAAAAGATGGAATTAATTATTTGAGAATTGGAGAAGTATTGAAAAAGAATAGAATATGGGTGAGAAATAGAAGAATTTAGTTTTGGAGTTAATAATGTTTAAATAAGAAAATACTTGGGGCAGTAAATAAATATGTTAGTCTAAGATAAATATTTGTAAAATTAAGAAAGCGTAAAACAGGATATTTTGGATAGACAATGAGTTTTTGTAATTTTTATTGATTAATGAAATTTATATATAGTGATATATTCAATGAAAACTTGTTTTAGAAATATCTTAATGAGCCTATAAAATATAAATAGATAGAGAATGTTAGTTTATGTTTAATTATTTAACTTGGATGTAGCGATATATTAGTGAATGAATTGGTTTTAGAAATATATTAATTTGATTATAATATTTTAAATAAATGGAAAGTTTAAGTTTAAGTTTAAATATGTGAAAAAGTATAGGTCTCTATAGACTCTTCATTGGTTAATGTTAGTGTGTGTGTGTGTGTGTTGGAGAGATGATTGTACGATGAAGTACAAAATTGTACATACCTATCGTTTTGAGCCATGCTGGGACACGTTACAGATTGAACACAGTTGACAAAGCTAGAGATTTCTATACTTCGGTCCTGAGTGCAGGCTCAACTTCATCTGGTCGGAAATCTTTGAGTGGTAAGGAACCTGAGCAGCAATCTGAGGCACTAGATTTGGTTTCCGCAGGGATGATAGAAGTGGCAAAGCAACGCCAAACAGAGGCTAAAGAGCAGAGGATGACTCGTGCAGCCTATAAGCGTAAAGAGAAAGAGCAACGTAAAAAAGAGCCCAAAGAGAATTCTCCTGGAAGTGCATCACCGCCGGTGGGAGGAGCAAGACCCAAGAGTTATGCAACACACGCAGCTCTGTCAGAGTTTGATGGTGTCTTCTCCAGGCTGCGTGCCAAGGGAGATGGCAAAGTTTTTGACCTGGAATGTTAATGGATTGAATTCTCCTCAGAAACGGAAAAAAATCTTTTATTATTTGAAACAACATACCAATGATGTTATTTGTTTACAGGAAACTCATATTCTACTTAAAGATCAGAAATATTTAGTTAATGCTCGTTTGGGATCTCATTTTATATCTCCTGCACCTGGGAAGAAAGGGGGAGTTGTTATATATGTTAAACAAAACCTGCCAGCTTGTCTGGTAGAATCAGATCCCCAGGGGAGATATGTGATGATTGAACTTGGTATTTATGGAAAGAAAGTACTTATAGTTGGACTTTATGCTCCAAATCAACAACAGGAACAATTTTATAAACAGTTACACCAAAAAATAACTTTGCTTGATTATAGATCAGTGGTATTAATGGGTGATTGGAATGGTGTCTTAGACACACAAAGGGATAAGAAAGGTTCCTCTCCTTTTCTTAAACAAGCAAGGCTACCTAAAGCCTTTTTTGATATGAAAGAAGACTGGGAATTAAGGGACTATTGGCGGGAACGTAATCAAGAGGAGAGAGACTTTACTTTTTTTTCTGACAGACACCAATCTTTTTCAAGAATTGACTTTTTCTTGATTACCACGGATTTGTATAATAAAGTAAAGAATGTAAAGATTTTTCCTAGATCACTGACGGATCATAGTCCAGTTTGGATGGAGTTGATTCAAGAGAAAGAGGAAAGAAGATCCTGGAGAGTTAATGAAAATTTGTTTAGACAAGAGAAGAATGTTCAAAAACTAAAGGAGTGTTTAAAGGACTATTTTGCTTTGAATATGTATAAGGGGACTTCAATGTCAATGGTATGGGATGCAGGTAAAGCATTTATGCGCGGTGTTTTGATAAAAATGAATAATTTTTATAAGCGAAATCAGATTCAGAAACGTAGAGAACTTGAAGATGAAATTAAACTAAAAGAAAGGGCTTTGATTCTAAATCCTTCTGATGAAAGTACTAAAGAATCTGTAAAGTTATTAAGGTCACAATTTAATATGTTGATAGCAGATCAAGCTGCAACCAATTTATTATTTATGAAACAAAATACATTTTGTAATGCTAATAAGCCGGGGAGATGGTTGGCTTATCAATTAAGAAAGAAACAGAGACAGAGAATAATAGAGAAAATAAATTATAAGGGTAAACTAGTTTCTCAGAAGGAATTAATTAAAAAATCTTTTTTGGATTATTATCAAAACCTATACAAATCTACTAATGTACAACTGTTAGATATAAATAAATATTTAGCTGAGGCAAGTTTTCCTAAACTGACTGAGGATCAGAAATATGAAATTAATGGTTTAATTACTAAGGAGGAAATTGCCTCAGCAATTCAACAATTGAAATTAGGGAAAGCACCGGGTACGGATGGGTTAACAGCTGTTTATTATAAAGCCTTAATGGAGGAGATGATCCAACCATTAAATGATCTTTTTAATGGTATCTTACAGGGTTTAGAGATTCCTCCTTCATGGCGTAGTGCTTTTATATCATTGATTCCAAAGGAGGATCAAGATCTTACTTTACCAAAAAATTATAGGCCTATATCTCTTTTAAACGTGGATTATAAGATATTTGTAAAAATTTTGGTAAATAGGCTTATGAGGGTGGTGCATCATCTTGTGCATAAAGATCAATCAGGGTTTATAACAGGAAGGTATATGAAAAACAATGTTAGACAAATTATTAATTTATTAGAATACTTAGATAAGAACAACCAAGTTCCTGCAGGGCTCATATTTTTAGATGCTGAAAAAGCATTTGACCAACTGAATTGGCATTTTATGCTAAGAGTAATGGAAGAAATGAATTTTGGTGAAAACATATTACAAGCTCTTAAGGTAATATATCAAAAACAAACAGCACAACTTATTGTTAATGGAGGTTTGTCGGAGGTTTTCACAATAGAGAAAGGTACTAGACAGGGGTGTCCTTTATCGCCATTGTTGTTTGTTTTAACATTGGAAATATTATTGATCAAAATTCGAGACTCTCAGGAAATTAAAGGAATATATGTTAATAAAAAAGAATATAAGTTGAGAGCTTTTGCGGATGACTTGGTTGTTACTTTGTCGAACCTGATTATTCTGTAGTAAACTTATTACAGTTGATTCACCATTATGGTTTGGTCTCGGGTTTTAAGATTAATGTAAACAAGACTAAAATTTTACCTAAAAATATGTCGAGTCAGGAGAAGCAGATTTTGGTTAACTCGACGGGTTTTGAGCTTGTTAATAAGGTAAAATATTTGGGGGTGATGCTGTCTGTTTCTAATGCAAAATTATTTAAAAATAATTATGAAAGGTTGTGGGTCAGGGTACAGAAAGACTTGAAAAATTGGGAAAAGTTGCAATTATCCCTCATGGGAAGAATTGCAGTGATAAAAATGAATATTCTACCCAAGTTCCTTTTCTTGTTTCAAATGTTACCAATTTTGAAAAATGAGATTAATTTAAATGAGTGGCAGAAGGGTCTCAATAAATTTATTTGGGCAGGTAAAAAACCAAGGGTTAAGTTCAAAATTATGCAAGACTTCCGTGAGAGGGGTGGACTCAAGGTACCAAATTTGAAATTATATTATGATGCGGTGGTTTTAACATTAATTAGTGACTGGGTAAATTTGACAAACTCTGAGATACTTTATCTAGAGGGATGGGATTTACTTTATGGGTGGCATGCCTATTTAATATTTAATAAAAAAATAGATTGGGCTTTTAAATCTCATATTTTAAGAATTTCTTTACTTAGGATTTGGAGAAAATATTATAAAAGTGATTTTAAAGTACCATTATGGGCTATACCTTGGCATGCGATAGAAGGAATAAAAAGAGGGGTTAAAATGGATATGGTGTCTTATAGACAGTTACTTAAATGGGATGGACAAAACTGGCAATTAAAATCACGGGAAGAATTAGCACAAGAAAATTTTACTTATTCTTGGTTCCAATATAGGCAACTACTAGATAGATGGAAGATGGATTGTAAGGTGGGTTTTCTTAGAGAAGATGAAAATCTTATTAAGCAACTGAAGGATCAAAGACAAACCCACATTAAGAGAATTTATGGGGTTTTAGTTGAATTGGACTCAGAAACGGAACTAATTAAAGATTGTATGATTAGATGGGCGCAGAACTTTGGTGAGCCAGTTTCATTGGACACCTGGGAAATTATTTGGGTGAGAAATGTCAAATTTACTCAAGCACAGAATTTAAGGGAGAATTTTTATAAAATGTTTTATAGATGGCACCTTGATCCACAAAAAATGTCTTACATGTACCCTGACGTGCAACCTAAATGCTGGAGATGTGGTTATAAGGAGGCTTCCTATTATCATATTTGGTGGTCATGCAGAGAGATAAAAGCATTTTGGATCAAAATATGGTGGAATATCCAGAGAATTTTTAGAAGGAGGGTAAAATTTACTCCGCAATTATTTTTGTTAGGTATTGTTACAGATTGTGATACAAAGGAGGTTGTATTGATGTTAAATTTGATCACAGCCGCGAGGCTGTTAGTTGGACAATATTGGAAGAAGGAATCTTTGCCTACATTGCAGGAATGGTTTTTTAAAGTAGCTTATCTGGCGGAAATGGCAAAGATTTCGGCTTTCTTAAAGCAACAAACGCAAGAGAAGTTTTTTGCTATCTGGGACAAATGGATAAAATTTATACAATTTAGATTGGGTATACAAAAATATCATATAGCTTTTTCATAAGTTTTATTTTTATATATATTATAGATATCTTTTTTATATATATAAACATAAAGTTTTTAATTTAATTTTTATTTTTTTTTTTTTTATTTCTCAAGCCTATATTCTGCTCTGGGAAGCTCAGGGGGGGGGAAGGGAGGGTTTTTGGGAGGGGTGTGGGGTGGGGGTTTTTTTTTTTTTTTTATATATGTATTGTTTAACTTTTTTTCTTTTGTATATGTTGTTTTTTGTTCTGTATTGTTCTTGTTTTTCTTGTAAAATTTATAAAACTTTTAATAAAAAAAAAAAAAAAATTGTACATACCTTTAAGCCATCTTGTAAGCCAGAATATCATCTTCCACCCATGAGAATCTGTTTGAAGCTTTTTTCTCAAGAGAGAAGGAAGGAGAGAGAGACAATAGAGAATAGACAGCAATAGATAATATATAATAGATGTTAATAAATGATAGATAATAGATAATTGATTGACTTCTTTGAAAGAAATTTCTAAAGGAACCAATTAACCAATTCTTCATGACAGATCATTAGTGGTATGTTATACCTACCTTCTTCTTTTTTTTTTAACAAAATTTTATTAAGTTTATATAGATGACGAAAAATAGGAACAATACAGGTATGATAAAGGGAGGGGTAGAAGGAAAGGGGGAGGGGAAGGAGATAAGGAATTAGGATAAAATAAGGATAGATACAATCACAATATTCAACCATTTTTAGCAAAGTTTAGACTGTAACATATCAAAAAAATAGTAAACAAATATGTTGATCTATTAAGTAAACACTACTGATAAAATCTCAAAAAAAATTCTAACAATCAAAAGTAACAAATGAAAGTCAGTAAATCAGGAAAAGTAATCATATTATTAAAATATTAGTTAGAACTTGATTAAAAATCAGTCATCTATTCTAAAATATTGAATCCTTCAAGTTCTAACGTGTCTCTAACCATTGATAAAAATTTTCCCAAGTTCTAAAATAAATTGAATCATCTTTTTCTTTCATTTCTAATGTTAGTCTATCCATTTCTGCACACTCTAAAATTTTGGTAATAATAGTCTGGTCAGATAGTAAATTCTCATTTTTCCAAAATTGGGCAAATACTATCCTTGCAGCAGTTAAAACATGCAATATCAAGTAATCATTCACTTTACCATAGTTAGGTCTTAATATTTCTAACAAAATATTCCTAACAAAAACAATTACAGTTTAAATTCTATCTGTAGTTTCATCTTTTCCAACCATCTATGGATCTTAGCCCAATATTTCTTAGTGATAGGGGATATACCAGGCATAGTAATAAGTGCCTGGCTGATGTTTACATTTCCAACAAATATCCGAAACATTTTTAAATATTTTCACTAAGCGAACTGGTGTCATATGCCATCTATAAAACATCTTATATAAGTTGTAGTTGTAAAGTTTGCCTGTCCTTAAGATTTCCCTCTTTCTCTAAAATGTCTTTATAACTAACCAGTTTGTCATGATTAATCAAATTTGGATAAGCAAATGCTTCCATTGTTGAAAGCCACTCAGGTATTTTCATATATATTTTATGTTTAATTTTCTCCCATTCTGAAAGTAGTACGTTTCTTATCACATGATTTTGAAAGTACTTATGTGCTTTAGATTTCTCGTACCATATAAAAGCATGCCAACCTGGCTGAAGGTCGTGTGCCTCTAAATAAAGCAATCTTTTATTTCTCAATACAATCCATTCTTTTAGCCAAAGCAAAATAGCCGCTTGATAGTAAAGTCTCCAGTCTGGAAGTCCAAAGCCCCCTCTATCCTTAGATTCTTGTAACAATTTACATTTGATCCTCACTTTTTTTTTTGCCATATAAGTCTTAGAATCATTGCATTTAAATCATCAAAAAAATTCTTAGTAAGTTTAATAGGCAATGTTTGAAATAAGAAAATTAGCTTTGGTAAAATGTTCATCTTAACCATCGCTATTCTTCCTTAAAAGTGATAATTGAAGATTTTCCCATCTTTCCAAGTCCATTTTTATTTGTTTCATTAATCTCTCATAATTATCTTCTTTTAATATAGTATATTTTGCCGTTAAATAAATACCTAAATATTTAACTTTTTTAACATACTTTCTTTGATCCATTCTGGCTTCAGCACTTATCCAAGCTGATCACTCATCCTCTTCTGTCTTCATTGGCTGTTTGGTGCCCTTTCTGTCCTAAAGGGATAGGGCATTGTTATTACCATTAATTACCATGGCATTAATATCAATGGGTTCTCATGCTCCTGATATATGTTTGACACCCATAGTCAATGTTAAATGCAGAAGTGAGAGGAGTTTATGAGCATTTTTGGCTTCCTTGTGCAATTCCAGATGCTGGTCTTTATCTATAAAGATCCTCATGATGTACAATAGGGTTATCTGAAGGACTGGCTTTCTCTAATCATTTCTACCCACCTGATATGTTTAGGTAGAGTAAGAGCACTCCAGGTTGCCTCATTATTATCATTTCATGGAATCAAGTTAGTGTACCTTCTCTGTCACAGCCTCTGCCCTCTGGAATGACAATCCCCCCCCCCCACTCCTATTATGTATGGTCCTAACAATTTCAGGTACTAGAAAGCCCTGTTCTCAGACATGGGATTTAGTATGTTAATTTCATAGGATTTGTTGTTTGAATTGTTATAGGTGTTTTTGTGTAGATGATGGCATAACGTGATTTTCTCTGCATAGGATGCAGGTACTGAAATAAAAATTACAAAGGCCTGACTCCATCTGAAGCTCTAGAGCAGGCATGCCCAAAGTTGGTAACGTTAAGATTTGTGGACTTCAACTCCCAGAATTCCACAACCAGCATGGCTGATTGAGAAATTCTGGGAGTTGAAGTCCATATGTCTTAAAGTTGCCAAAGTTGGATACCATTGTCCTAGAGATTGCTAAACAAAGATTGACAGCACTGGCTACCAGGCTAAGGAGATACATTAGAGAAGTAGAGGCTGAGAAGATAAAAGAACCATTTCAATTTTATTGAAAGTTTTTAAAAACAAAGGTAAAAACTAATATAAATTAATATAGTGCAAGAAGAAAAAACAAAGAAATCAAAGTTATAGGTAGAAGTGCAAGAAAGAAAACAAAAACACAAAAATAGAAATGAAAGAAAAAAGACATAAAGAAGTGCTTCCAATCTTCTTTATAACAAGTATATTTATAATTTAAAAATTTACTTTTTTCTATAGAGCGATTCTAGAGAATTCCCTTTTTTCTATAATCTATCATCTAATCATCAAAGCCATAAATTGCAAGTTTATTTTTTCAGTTTTATGCAAAAAGTGGATAAGGAGTTTCCAGTCAGCAGTAAAAACAGATATTGCTTTTTCTCTAATTAAACAAATCAATTATTTTTAGTTATATATTGAATGTTATATATTGAGTCGTTTGGAGCAGGGTGACTATAACAAAGGGAAAGACTATTATTACTATTACTATTACTATTAATAACAATTACATTAACCACTGTTCATATGATGTTTGGTACACATGTAATTTTTTTCTAAAATATATATAGATATAGATATGCTTATCATATTGTGTCTACTGTTGTCACTTAAATATGGCCATTTTAGCAGAGACTCATTTTTCCCTCAGAGACTCATTTTTGCACATTTTAATAATATATCACAACAGTCAAAGAGGTATGAAAACAAGAAGAATAACAGGGCATCAGTTTGTATATTGGATCTAAAAATGCAGACTAGGCAGGTTCACACATTGTTCTTACTATATATTATACTTTTTATATATAACATATTTTCTCCTATTTGCAAATCTGTCTCTCAATGAAGTCATAAATGTATAGAGTAGATAATTGAGCACAAACATTCCCCGGGAGCTTTTTCTTATAAGTTGTTTAATTCAATCTGAAATCCCATTATTACTCTGTGCATGACAGCAGCCACTGTATATTCTCACCAAATCCTATTTGCGGAATGCCAATCAAAGGGTGCTCATGCTGTGATTCTATGTACTCTACTTCTGTCTAATTAAATGGGTAACTCAGGAGAAACTTGCTCCTGCAAAATGAGAGCCCAGCTTTTTTCATCCTCAACAGACGACACTTCATTTTGCTTCAAAGCAAGTGTTCTGATGAGAGTTCAGAGAATTAAACTACCGATGTACAAATGACTTCTTCCATTGGCTTCTTTCGTTCTTTAGTATTTCTCCTTTCTGTTTCAGTGCTTTTGCCTTATAGCTTTCACGATGTCATTGAGTTGCCTGAAGATAAAACTGGAGCATGCATACATATGATGTATCTAAGTGGACTTCCTTGATTTCTGATTGTTAAAACCAAACATGGGTCTATAATTCTGCTGACTTAAAGCAAACTGTTCTAAAAGCTGTATTGGGCCTTCAGCTTTGTCTAAGGGTTCTAGTTACAATCTGATCATTTCCAAACACAACAAGGTCCTATGAGAATAAAGTATAAAGTTAAAACCTGTTAATAAGAAAAAAAAGGATCCATAAGTGTAACTTTGCAAGGATTTTACCTATTATCCAGGCTTCTCTTTCTTCTGAAGCCCAAGGTAGGATTTTGCAGCCATGCCTAAAATCCATTGATAATCCTATCTTCCACACATTTGTCCAACCATTTTTGAAGTCAGGTGTCCCTTTATAATAGTGAATTTCATTGTATCAACTATATATAGATTTTTCCCCTTTTGTCTGTCCTAAATCTTCATCTTTCATGCTTTGTTTGAAATGAGTTACAGAGTATGCTAAAATGGGCAATATGCTAATTTCTCCCTACTTCTATGGATTGATTTAAGTGTTACTAAAATAGAATAATTTTCCTACATAATTATTCACTGATGTTGTTTTGACTATTGCATATCATGCAACTGAAAGGTATTTTTAACTGTCACATCATTTTCAACATAAAGTATATTATTTAGTATTATTGCACAGCAACTCACACTGGACCACTTAGAAGAAGGAACACTGATATCCAGTGCTTTTTTTCTAAAAAAAAAAAAAAAAGGTGCCTGAACTCACACACGTCATACAACCCGTCTTGCCTATCCTACAAGGTTCCATTCAAAAATGGTGCCGGAACTCCATTCTGGACGTTCTATGAGAAAAAAAGCCCTGCTGATATCTATCTATCTATCTACCTATCTATCTATCTATCTATCTATCTATCTATCTATCTATCTATCTATCTATCTATCTATCTATCATCTGTTGAGAGATTTAGACCAGTAAGAGATATCCTATGCCAAAATTAATGATAGTGCCTTATTTCCTGTGTCTTCAGTTCCTCTACTCTATCTGTGCCATGCAGACAAATCCAGCATGGTACTATCTTCCCTGAAAAATCTATTCCTATACCAAATCCTCCTTGGTGGTCTTGAATTTCCATTGGCACATGACTTTTGCACACATGGTTTCATATTTCCTTGGCTTTGTTTATATACATTTGAGACCTTTGTGAGAATGTTAGTTTATTTTACATTTAGCTTGTTACTCCCTAGGAATGGGTAATGCATAAAGTAAAGTAAATAAGCAACTAAAAGTAAATTAATGCTCAAAATAAATACAAAATGCATTTTAGGCAATCAGAGTGCTGACACAATCTAATCTGGAAATGAAGACTTATAAATGTGAAAGCCTATATTTAACATCACCTGAAAGAAAGAATCTGAACTATATTCAAAAACTGATGCTGTTACAGAAGCTGCAGGATTGGCTTTTGCTCAAACTTTAGTTAATACAGCAAGCTTCTGCTTTCATAGGAAGTGTATTAACATACCATCCATATTATTTAAAACATTTATATCTCACCTATTCATAATGACCTGAAAGAAGTTGAAGCCCAAGCAACAATCTTATTAGAACAACAAAAGATAGGATAATTGTAGTCCATCCCATCTCTTCCATTTGGCTTATATATATTAGATTAATAGGTAAATGCCATTAGGACTGTTCCATCCCAGTGCAAAAATCTGATAGTAAATGACAAAAAAATTTAGTAAGGGTATCTTCAATCCAACTCTAGTAACAAAAATAACAATAATATTAAAGTCTAACAGTGTTAACTAGGCAGCTTCAGATATTAACTTCAATGGAATATCTTTCAAGTAAAGCAGAGTTTAGAAGATATGATGCCTTTACTAGTGAATACTTAATGCATTTTCATTTTATTATTTTTTTTAGAGTTCCAAGTTCACATTTTTTATAGAAAGGGACAATCTTAAACAGTAAACAATAATTTCACCATCTGGAACCATTGAATTAATCTCTAGATGGTGGAAGCTATATCCAATTAAAAGTGTACTCTGATCAAAACAGATTGAAGCTTTATTTATTTGAAGCAAATGTCCTATTACAGCATCATAGATGTTTTCTCAGTCTTCTGCTATGCTTGTTATATATATAATGTTGGATGTAATGTGCATGTGGCATAAGGATATAAAACCTACCTGAGTCACATAACATGCAGATATTTGTTCAAAATGGAAATCAGGGTTGAGTTTTAATTAATACTGCAAAGGTGGACAAAGTAAAGAAATGAAAATGAAGAGAAATACTGACCAGTGATTTTGCTGGCTAATCCTTTCAACTTGGAAGCGTCTTGGTGCTTTTGGCATGAGTATGATGCAATGAAAGAATTAGTAAATTGATTTATATATTTAAAGTTCACACACACACACACACACACACACACACACACACACAATGTTATTGTTATTTCTGGTAGCTCTTAATGGACCTGCTGATTAAGATTGAAAGATGAAGTTTTATTATTTGGCAATAGATAAGATATTGAATGAAGAGAGTTTTGTTGAAATTATTAGAGAAACTATTGAAAATGTTTATACTTGTGTTGATGAATGGGGAATTACTTTCTCTATCCTTGTTTATATATATATTATATTCACCTTAGTTGTACTAATTTTTTATTTTTGTAATTTTAAACCTCAATAACATTATTATTAAAAAGAGAGACAGACATGTTCAGGATTTAAATGATCTCAAGGCAATGATTAAGATGATCAGTTAGTGTTATGAACTATGCATTAAAGTAACCATATAAAATGGCTTAGCCATAATCTTCTTTCAATGACTTACAAGCTGTTTTCTTGTATCAAAAAAAAAAAATGGAAATTCATTCTTTTCCCTTCCTGCCAACTTTATTTGTGGTAGACAGCAGTGTCTACTGC